CGGGGCCCCCCTGCTGGCCTGGTTCCCCTCCGCCATCTGGTATAAGGTATTATTGCTCCATGTCAATCCCATCAGTGTCTCTGTTGCGCGTTGCAGTTCTATTGCTTTTATCCCTTTTCTTCCTGTCGGATCCCTGATGCAGCCCCTGGTCGCGCAGGAGTCGGATGCGGGTACCGCAGATGATACTGAAAACAGTACGGCAGACAGCACGATAGAGACAGAGCCTGAAGAGAATGGAGCAGAGGCTGGAGAACAGGATCAAAGGGCAGACGCGGCTGGGGCTGGCAAGGCCGCAGCAGAAAACGGCTCAGCAGCAGAGGAACTGGAGGAGACCCGGGGGAGCCTCAGGGACGACGGCCGGGCCGTGCTGTTACAATCCATTGATATTCAGGTGAAAGGCTGGTCGAATAAGGCCAGCCTGCGCAAGCGCATTGGTGTGAAGGAAGGCCAGCGTTTCCGCAGTCTGAGCGAATTGCGTACCGTCCTGGATATCGGCTTTAACCATCTGAGGGGCACTGGTTATTTCAGCAGGGAAGAGGGCATTCGCTACCGTCTGCTCGCTGTGGCAGGGGGCAGCGAAGGCATGCAGCAGCTCCGGCTGGAAGCCCGCTTCCGGGATAAATGGACTGTCTACCCGCTTGTGTATCCGTACTACAGTACGGGTACGGGCTTCGGTCTCAGAGGGAGGCTGAAATGGGATAACTTCCTGGGCCTGCTGGGCGATGTGACATTCCGGGCGGATGTGACTCAGGTGCGCAATGGCAATTACGGGCCGGATGTGGGGGCCGGGCTGGGTATCAGCACCATTAAAATTACGCCTGCTTTCGGTGTCAACGGTTCATTCCATGTCAATCGCGATGCGGATATTCATAAGCTCACTGGAAGCTGAACGTCAGCCTCGGGGGTAACGTAGCTATCAGCGTATTGCAGGCTGCCGGTATCGGCATGAATTACTCGGCCCTCCAGCAGTTCCGGCATTTCGTTTGGCTATATCGGCCAGGTGAGTACCCATCCCTATTTCAGCAATAGTTTCAGTCACGGTCTCGGGCTGGGGAAAATGCGCAGCTCTTCCGGCTCTGTGCTGCGCGATGGTTACAGTATGTCTGTTCGCAATAGCTACAGTTTCGACAGTGATCCTGAAAGTCTGGATGGGCCGCGGAATTTTGCCCTGGAAGACATCAGGCTGGGCTACAGTATTCAGCTGGCCCGTTCGTATTTCAATGCCATTAACTTCAAAGGACGTGCTGGTCTGGGGTTATCCTTTGATTTCAGCAACGGAATCCGGAATGAAAAGGGCTACAATTACGATGTCCACAGTTACAACCGCGGCAAACGGGAAGACCGGGTCGAGGGCAATTTTATCGCCTATCTGAACATGGAGTTGGCGGTGCTGGTATTCAGTGATGATTTATTAGGCGATGTGCTGCTCCAGCCGTTTCTGGATCTGAGCTGGGTCAACAACGCGCAGGGTTTCTCGCTGGGAAAACACTTCGCTGGGCTCCGGCTTTGAACTGGTGTGGATCTTCCGCAGTCTGAAATTCCGTTTCAGCTTTGGTTTTGACCTGCACGAGCCAGAAGTATATAATATCACCATTACCACCGGGTTTTATTTTAATTGACACGCTGGAGTTTCATAAACTCAGTTCCAGTGCTGTGAGAGGGAAACCTGTGTCTCATACCTGTATTTTTACTTCAGAATCGGTCAGTGAAGGGCATCCCGACAAAGTGGCCGATCAGATTTCCGATGCCGTACTGGATGCCTGCCTTCGCGAAGATCCGCAAAGCCGGGTGGCCTGTGAGACCTATACGACTACCGGCATGGTGCTGGTGGGAGGCGAAATTACTACTTTCCACGTATATTGATATTCAGGAGCTGGTGCGCGAAGTTGTGCGCGAAATCGGCTATACCCGCGCTGAATACGGCCTGGATGCTGCTTCCATGTCAATTCTGAATACGATTCACTCGCAGTCATCCGATATCAGCCAGGGCGTTTCCGGTACCAGCGGGCTGTACGATGGTCTGCAGGGTGCCGGGGATCAGGGCATGATGTTCGGTTATGCCTGCCGGGAAACCCCGGAATTGATGCCCGCACCGATCTGCTATGCCCACAAACTGCTGCAAAAGGCCGCTTTGCTGCGTAAAGGCGGGGCGCTGCCGTGGCTGCGCCCCGATGCCAAGAGTCAGGTTTCTCTGGAGTACCAGAATGGCCAGCCGCTGCGGATTGATTCGGTGGTGCTGTCGCAGCAGCACGATGACCATATGGAACACGCTGCGATCGAGGAAATTCTGGTGCGGCAGGTCATCCGCGATGTGCTGGAGCCGACCGGCCTGCTGGATGCGCAGACCAGGTTTTATATCAACCCCACTGGCCGTTTTGTGATCGGCGGGCCACACGGTGATGCGGGTCTGACCGGGCGCAAGATTATTGTGGATACCTATGGCGGCATGGGTCGCCACGGCGGCGGTGCTTTTTTCGGGCAAAGATCCTTCCAAAGTGGATCGATCAGCAGCGTATATGGCGCGTCATATTGCCAGACATGTCGTCGCGGCGGAACTGGCAGAACGTTGTGAGGTCCAGTTGTCTTATGCGATTGGTGTGCCGTTCCCCGATTTCGGTAATGGTGGAAACCTTTGGTACGGGCAAGGCTGATGAGCAGCAGATTGCCAGGGCTTTGCGTGAAGTGTTCGATCTGAGTCCGGCCGGTATCGTGGCGGGTCTGAACCTGAAGCGGCCCATCTATCAGCCAACGGCCTGCTACGGTCACTTTGGCCGCAGTGAATTTCCCTGGGAAAAAGACGGACAGGATTGCCGAACTGCAAAGGGGCAGTGGGTTGAAGGGCAGTGGGTTGAAGGGCAGTTGGTTGAGCAGCTGTTATATAGCCTGTATGAAAATTACATGGCCGGGATCCCGGTCTTTGTTGTCCGTATGAAGTGTCAGGGAATCCATGGTATCCATCCCGGGAACTGTATCATTTTCGGGCATGCAGAGCTTGCGGAGCATGGCAGAAAGAGCAGTGCTTACGCGGCTGTGACGAAAAATCTTTGTGGCCCGCAACGCAGGCGGGAACAGTCTTTGTATGGCGGAAGGCTTCTGTGAGGATCTATGTCAGGACACAGTAAATGGTCAACGATCAAGCATAAAAAAGGAGCCGCCGATGCGAAACGGGGGAAACTGTTTACCAAACTGATCAAGGAAATCACGGTAGCAGCGCGCATGGGAGGCCCCGATCCGGAAGGCAACCCGCGTCTGCGGGCCTGCCTGATTAAGGCGCGCACGGCCAACATGCCCAGGGACAATATTGAGCGGGCCATTAAAAAGGGGATCGGGGACCCTGGTGGCCGGAGGACTACCAGGAATTGCAGTATGAAGCTTATGCACCCGGCGGAGTGGGTCCTGTTGATCGAGGCTCTGACCGAAAACAAAAATCGAAGTGCCGCCGATATCCGTTCCATTCTGAGTAAAAAGTAATGCCTCGCTGGCTGCGGCCGGGGCCGTGTCGTTCCAGTTTCAGCGCAAAGGTGTGATTTCCTTTGACCTGGAACAGGTGGCTTTTGAACAGTTGTTTGAGGCGGCCCCTGGAGGCGGGTGCAGAGGATGTGGCCGATTCAGGGGAAGTCTACACCGGGCCCTCAGACTTTGAGCAGGTGCTCGAAGCGCTGGAGGGAAAAGGCTTTGTCCAGCTTGGTGCCGAAGTGCAGTGGGTCGCTGAGCAGCGTTTGAGCCTGAGCCATGATGATACCCGGAAGGTGCTGCATCTGATCGATCGCCTGGAAGACTGCGACGATGTACAGACAGTGGCCAGTAACCTGGAAATCCCCGAAGACTTTGATTTTCATTCAATGTAAGCATTGCTTTGAATTAACTGGCATACGGTGAGGGTAGTGAATGAGAGGTGATGAGACAGAGGCATCGCTCCAGCGATCAGAAGCAGAGTGTTTTTCGGAGCATCCGCGTAAAAGCAGGAAGTCTTCCGCGTCTGGAGAAACCAGGACCCCCAGGACGCTCAAGGTGTCCGGAGTTGACCCGCATTACCGGAGTCTGACTGCCAGACTGAAGAATACCCACGAATTCCGCAGGATCGACCAGTATCATCGCCGCAGTCTTTTTACCAGTTTCCGCTGTTCACTGCGTGCTTCTATTACGCGTTTCGTACCCAGCGCAACTTCCGCATTGAACTGGTGTTTGCCGTGCCTGTCGTTGGGCTGGGACTCGTCCTGGGCCTTGACAAAGGGCAGTGGGGCATTCTGCTGTTGGCAATTGCGCAGGTGCTGGGTGCTGAAATTGATGAATACGGCACTTGAATATATGGTCGATCTGTACGAAAAAATTCAATTACCTGGCAATGATGGCGAAAGATATTGCGGCAGCCTTTGTATTGCTGAGTGTCCTCCATGCTGTGCTTCAGGGGCTGTTGATTTTTGGTCTTATGTACTGAGTGTCTTCGGCTGAGTGGAAGCAGGGGCAGGGCGATGTGAACAGGGGGGCCGCGTAATTGCACAGACCGGCTGATTGCTATAGGATGCGGGTATCCATTCCCCTGTACCTGCTGTACAATAGCCGGGGGGGATAGATGCACGAAAGGACCGGACTGTTGCTGCCACCAATACTGTACCGCCACGACGCGCTGTCGCTACAGGCGAAAGAGGTTTCCAGGGAAGTGCTGGATCGCCTGCTGGAGGCGGGCCGGCTCAGTCCTTCGGTCAGGCACCGCAGCCCTGGCGGTTTTTATCGCGGTTACGGAGCCACAGAGGCAACAGCAGTTACAGCAGGCATGCTATGGCGATGAGCGCTGCAGCAAAGGGGGCGATGATCGCCGCCTGCTATGCATCTGCTGATATCAGATGCCCAACGGTTTTTCAGCGAACCTGTTTGATCTGGGGCTGGCCTGCGGTCAGATCATGTTGCAGGCAGAAGTAGAAGGGCTGGCCGCAGAAGCGCTGACTTCGTTTTCACAGAACGAGGCTTCCCGGCGCTTGACCCTGCCGCATGGGATGTATATTGCAGCTCTGATACTGCTGGGTTATCCGGAGAATCGGGAGAAGCGTGATATGCGCCACCGCTGCCTGGATTGTGAGCGTACGGTAAATTACAATTCCTGGTAAATCTGTGAGGGAATCCATTTTCTGGATGATTCCGCTTCTTTCAGTTTCTCATTTCTCAGTTTTTCATTTCTATGGGGCTGGTGCTTCTGGTCATTTACAGGGTTGATCAATGTTGGAGGAATCATACATCATGAGAGTAGGTATTGAACGAATCAATCTGTACGGTAGCAGCATGTCTCTGGATTTGCGCACCCTGGCGGAGGCCCGGAACAAGGATCCGGACAAGGATGTCTCGGAACTGCTGATTCACCGTCGCACGCTGCTGCCCCCCTGGGAGGATATCATTACCATTTCGGCCAATGCCGCAAAGCCGATCCTGGATGAGGAGATTACGGGCAGAAATTGGCCTGTTCATTGTCGGGACCGAGGGGTCGACAGACTTTGGTAAACCGATCAGTACCAACCTGCATGAGGCCCTGCAGCTGCCTGTAAATGTCCGTAACTTGAGACCAAGCACGCCTGTTTTTCTGGAATGGCGGCATTGGACAGCGCCATTGACTGGGTGGCAGCGGGCTGGAACCAGGGTCGCAAGGCACTGGTGATTGCTGCCGACTTCAGTCGGGTGCATCTGAATACGAAGCAGGAGTTTGTGATGGGTGGCGTGGCTACAGCGATGCTCATCAGCGATCAGCCCGAAATCATTGAGAGTTTGAACTGGGTAAACGCGGCAACTGGACCACCAACATTTATGATACGTATCGACCTACAGCCCGGGAGGAACTGGGGAACAACGAAACCAGCCTGTTCAGCTATATTGACGCGCTGGACGGTGCCTACAATGACTACCTGAGGATTGTCGAAGAAGAGAGTGGGGAGCAGATTGCTTTTGACAGTTACTTCCAGAAATTTGTGTTTCCACACGCCGTTTGCCGGGATGGCCTTTCAGGCATTCCGTTCGCTGAACAGCATTGCGGGCAGTGGAAAAGAAAAAATCCGAATTGCGCGCGGACTTTGAGCGCAAGGTTTTACCTGCGCTGCGTATTTCCAGGCTGGTGGGCAGTTGCTACGCTTCGAGCAATTATGCGGGGATTGTCAGCCTGTTATTGAGCTGTGAGGATTTAGAGCCAGGCGATCGGATTGGTTTCTACGCTTATGGTTCGGGTGCTATCGGTGAGTTCTACAGTGCCATCGTCTGTCCCGGTGCCCGTGAGAAATTGCAGAAATTGCAGATGCTCGAAAAACTGGAAGCACGTTATGATGCCAGTGTTGCCGAGTATGAGCAGAATGAAGCAATCCGCGATTCTTATGTCGAGAACCCGGACTTTGAGCCGGACTTTTCCCGGCCTCCAGGTGTGTTTGAGAAATACTACAGAGGCCAGGGGCTTTATGTTCTGAAGAGTGTCAAAGAATATCAGCGCAAGTATGAATGGAGTTGAGTTTGCGTTGCTGGGACTGAGTCCGGGCAACTCTCCGGCTGCTGCTGCGGTGGGTCCGGGCGCTCTGGGCCTGATTACCCTGAGCGATCCTGTGGGCAACGGCAATGCTCTGAATACCGGATTGCTCAATAGTCTGGTAGAGCAACTGGAAGTCTGGCGTGCCCAGTGGCAAAGCCAGCCGATCCGGGCGCTGATTTTACGTTCAAGCAGTCCATTGGCCTTTTTCGGTGGGTATGGATCTTGCTGTTTTTCAAACTCAGAGCAAAGGGTCGGATGGTCGGGTGGAGGAGCAGGCAGCGGCATTGTACCGGCGCAGTCTGGAGAGCATTTACCGCTTTCCAGCCCCGGTATTCTGTCTGCTGGAAAAAGCGGCCCGCGCTGGAGGCGTGGGCCTTGTTATGGCCGCAGATCTGGTGCTGGCTACTGAGGAAGCCAGTTTGATGCTGGGTGAGGCTCTGTTTGGCCTGATCCCGGCTAATGTATTGCCGTACCTGCGCAAGCGCCTGAGCGAACGCAGGGCAAACCGGATGGTATTTGTGCCGGAAGCTCTGGATGCGCAGACTCTCTTTTGACTGGGGCCTGATTGATTTTCCCCCATCCGCAAATTCCGAGCTGCTGGAAAAAGCTGTTGAAAAAACTGCTGCGCAATGTGTTGCGTTGCAACCCTCAGGCGCTGGCCCGCCAGAAGCTGCTTGGGCAGGCGCTCGGCGAGCTGGGGCTGGAGCAACAGCAGAACCTGGCAGAAGAAACTCTGGCGCAGTGCCTGGGAGAGCCGGCCGTTCGGGCAGGAATCAGCTCTTTCCTTAATGGCAGCCTGGGGCCTTGGAGTTGTAAGGTTCCGAAAGAGTTGAAAATAAGCGGAGCCGGTTTTCCAGCTGAATAGACCACATCATTTCGCGTATTGCCGGCTCGCGCGCTGCTGGTTTTTCCATGCATTGATCCGTTTCCCGCCAGGCTCTTTATTGTGCGGAGTTGTGGAAATTGCGGGCGTACCAGGTTTGATTGTACGAAAACATTAATACAATAGCGCTGCTCTACCGCTTCGGCCATCTGGTCCAGCAGGTAACGGCGGGCCCATCCGGCCAATCAGCTTGCCGGGCACGGTAAAACTGCCTGAATCCCCCGCAAAACTGCTGAATCCCCCGCCCGGCAGCCCGGCCAGTTGTGCATGAGCAAAGCCGGGTAACTGATAGTCGTGTTGCAGCTGAGCTCAGGCGTTGCGCACGGGACTGCACGACATGGGAAACTTCTCTCACAGCGCATTTCCGGTGGGCAATTGCTCCCCGCTGCCCTGCAAAAGGATGCCGTAATGATGGGAAATACCCGGCCGGACATGACAATAAATGACCCATTTTTCTGAGCGACTACCTCTGCTGAGCCCAGAACATGTGGGAATAATACAAATCGTTCCAGCGGAGGCGATCGCAGAAAGAATGTAGTTCGGTACTGCTGCCAATACCGACAAATTCAATTCCCGCAATATCGGCAAAAATGCGCAGCTGTTCGCTGGAGACATTCTGGCTGAAACACGAATGATGAGCACCCCCGGCCTGGAGCCAGGCACGGGTGGAGATGTTCCAGTTGGGTTCTGGCACCCAGAGTACGTGGGCCACGGGCAACCGGGGCATCGGCCGGGGCAGGGGCAGGACCCGCAATTCATTGGCCAGCAGACGGAATCGATTGCCCATATCCAATAGAGTTGCATTCAGTGCGCGCCCCTTGTTAACCTGATGACTGGCACCAAAAAGCAAACGCACAGGGTCGGCTTTGCCGCCGATGCCCAGGGGAAGATACCGAGATCGGTTGCTCTGTGGTAATACTGGGGCAGACTTCCAGCATGTGGGCCCCCAGGCAGGCGGCTTCTTCGCCGAAGTGGTAGGTATAATCCTCAATAAAAGAAGCACCACCCTCCTGGTTCAGTCCGATGACCTTGACGATATATAACAACGCGGCTGTTTTCCAGTCGCCTTCGGCACCAAAGCCATAACCTTCCTTCATTAAGCGCTGTACCGCCAGCCCCGGCAACTGTGGCAAGTTCCCTAAATTTTCAAACGTGGTGGTGAATGCAGAAAAATTCCCTTGCACCAGAAAATGGCGTATCCCGGCTTCGATCCGGGCGGATTCGACCAGTGCGTGGTGCTGGCTCGCGCCCTTTTGTAATTCTGCTGCAACATTGTATTCATCCAGACAGGCTTCGACGATTTGCGGTACCTGATCCTGGGCCTCATCCATTGCGCGGTATAAATCATCCAGGCCATAACCATCGACGCGCCAGCCCAGCTGGATCTGGGCTTCGACTTTGTCGCCTTCGGTCACAGCGACATTGCGCATGTTGTCGCCAAAGCGTGCCACGCGGCATGTTTGCGACTCCGCCCAACCCCGTGCGACTCTGGCCCAGGCGGCAAATTCACGCTGTATTTCCAGGTCCTGCCAGTGGCCTGCGATAACATGGCGGCTTTTGCGCAGGCGGCTGGCCGCAAAACCGAACTCCCGCCCGCCATGAGCCGACTGGTGCAGATTCATGTAGTCCATGTCAATACTTTCCCAGGGGATGGTCGTATTGAATTGTGTGTGAAAATGCAATAAAGGTTTGCGCAAATCGCGCAGGCCCGTCAGCCACATTCTGGCCGGGGAAAACGTATGCATCCAGACGACCACGCCGGCACAGGAAGAGCAGGCATTTGCTTCCCGGCATAAACAGCTGATGGTGTCCGTGTCTGTTGCGACCTGCTTCCACTGTAATGGCAGAGGACAAACCTGCGCCAGATTTTGCAGTATCTGCCGGAATTGCTGGCCACTTGTCGCAGAGTGTCTGGACCATAGAGATCCTGGCTACCGGTAATAAACCATATCTGATGTTCTCTGGCAGGTTCTTTCATTGTGTATACTCCTCAATCTGTGTTACTGGATGATTCTTTTTCTTTCTGTTTTACTTCCAGCCTGTTCTTGAGCTCCATATAATCAGCGAGATTCCTCTGAATAAAATTGGGTTCTACCAGGACCTGGGCACAGTGCCGGTTTTTGATGGGCTCTGTCAGTTGATCAAGTAAATGACGGGCTGCCATGCGCCCCATCAGTTTCCCGGGATGGGTAAAACTGCTGAAGCCGCCATGGAGCAGCCGGGATAACTGCGAGTTGTCAAAGGCAATCAGCTCGTAGTGGCGATGCAGTTCCCAGCCATAATGTTCTGCCACGCTGATAACAATGGCAGCTTCCTCATCATTAGAGCAGATCCATGCCATCGGCCTGCCAGTGTGCCGAAGGGTTCTGGCAAAGAACGCTTCACATTGCTGGCAGGTGTTGCTGTGCTGGCCCTGGCCTTGAAAGACCAGTTCGACAAACTGGACATCCCGGTATTGCCGGAATGCAGCCCTGGCACCCTGAATACGCCTGGTTTTCGCCAGGTAGTGATCCTGGTAAAACAGGACAAACTGGCGGTAACCGAGCTGGAGCAGAGTCTCTGCGGCCGTTCTCCCGGACTGCAAATCGTGGCACAGAATGGAGCTGGAGCGCAGCTGGGGTACAGAAGCGTCAATAAAGATGATGGGAATGCCACTTTGGGCGAGCTGCTGGTACAGCTCCAGGTTGGGTGCCCGCTCGTCATCCACAACCGGCTCGGCGATCAGACCGATAATACCCTGTTGCAAAAAGCTTTCCAGAGCAAGAGACTCCTGTTCTACCTGATACTCGCTCTGTTTAATGATGATATTGTATTCAGGGTTGTCAATGGTTGCCGTAACCCCCGCGATAATTTCCGGGAAGATATAATGACCGGGGAAAAAACACAGCAGACCAATATTCAGGGAGCTTGCTGCGGGGCCATCTCTGTCCAGCAACGGTTTCGCAGCTTCAGAAACAAAATAGCCGAGATTTTTCTGATAGGTGAGCCAGCCTTGCTGGGCCAGTTGGCTCAGACCGTTGCGCACAGCGTTACGCGATATGTTGAGCCGCTTTTCCAGTTCGGCTTCGGTGGGCAGCCGCTGTCCTGTCTGCAGGAATTTTTGCCGGATTTGTCCTTTTACCCAGTCGGTAACGATATATGCGCGTTTTTTAGGCATGATTTGATACTGTACTGTGATTGCCGAAATCACGCAAGCATTTTTCAGGTATAATAAATATCTTTGTATTTTATTCCATTTGAGATGGTTATGGCATGGTGACTGCTTGTATATTTATATATATAGAAATTAGTTATGTAAAAAATCATCGTGAGGAATATGCAGGAACAGGGCTGAAATGAATCTCTATGGCAGATCTGGAATTTTGTGATTGACAGATATATCGAAAAGGATTAAAATAATATATTGTTTTATTGGTATAATAATATTCCTTATGTGCCGGAGGTCATCTATGAAAATTGCAAAATGTGCTGCTGTACTGCTGAGTCTGGGCTATACGCTGAATGTGGTGGCGTGCACGCAACAGGGAGCTCGGAACCTTGTCGGGATCGCCATGCCGACAAAGTCTTCTGAGCGGTGGATCAAAGATGGTGCTACGATGAGAGAGCTGCTGGAAAACAAGGGCTATCAGGTCGATCTCCAGTATGGCGAGGATGATATCCCTACGCAAAAATCCCAGATTGAGAATATGATTACCAAAGGGGCCAGGGTTCTGGTCATTGCGCCAATTGATGCTTCCACATTATCCAGTACTCTGGACAATGCGGCAGCGGCCGGAGTAAAAGTCATTTCTTACGATCGCCTTCTGATAAATACTGATGCAGTTTCCTTTTATGCTACATTTGACAATCGCAAGGTGGGGCAGCTGCAGGCCGAATCACTGCTTGAGGGCCTGCGGCAGCTCCGGGGGGAGGGCCCGTATAATATTGAGTTATTCGCAGGCTCTCCGGATGATACCAATTCCTTCTATTTTTATTCGGGAGCCATGGATGTCCTGCAACCCCTGATTGATGATCAAATCATTCGCATCCCTTCGGGGCAGACAGCCCAGGCTCAAATCGGTACTTTACGCTGGGATGGGGCGGTAGCCCAGGCCCGTATGGATGCGATACTGGCCGCAAATTACAGTGCAGGAGCAGTCCTGGATGGAGTCCTTTCTCCCTATGACGGCATTTCCCGGGGAATCATATCCGCGCTGAAGGCTTTTGGGTATCAGCCCGGGCAGAATCTTCCTGTAGTCACGGGTCAGGATGCCGAGTCCTCATCCATTAAATTAATCATTCGCGGCGAACAATATTCGACAATTCTGAAAGATACCAGAGAGCTGGCTGCGGTTGCTGCGAGCATGGTGGATGCCGTTTTAAAAGATACACAACCAGAAATTAACGATACGACAACATATCACAACAATGTAAAGGTTGTGCCTTCTTATCTCCTGGAACCTTACACTGTGACCAGAGAGAATTATCAGGAATTAGTGATTGATTCCGGCTATCTGGAGCCCCGCGACATCCAGTAGCAGGTTCCAGTCCTCCTGACGAAACGCCATTGAGTGCAGGATCCGGCCTGAGAGGCTGGCCGGGATTCTGTTGTTTCATATCGAAAGTAATGTGCAGGGATACTCATGATGAGATGTAGCATCCATCTGCCTGTCGGCCGGAAACCACAGAAAGTAGTCCCGGGTAAGTGGAGCCCGGCAGAGCCCGGTATGCTCATCCTGGATGAGCCGACCAGGGGTATTGATGTCGGAGCCAGACAGAAAATTTATTCGGTAATGAATGGTCTGGGAGAGTCGGGGAGGAAATCGTGATGATTTCTTTCGGGTTACCGGGAATCCGGGGCTCTGTGAGCGCATATGCGCTATGAGTGAAGGACAGTCTGTCGGTGAATTCAGTGCAGAGGAGGCTTCGCAGGAAAGCTTCATGCAGAAGAGCATGAGACGTGATTCATGAGAGAGCTGTTCAGAATTCCCTTATTTGTCGTGCTGGCACAGCTGTTCTGGTCAGGGTTTTGAGCATTCGCCTCAACAGAGCTCTTTTTGATTTGTTTATAACAGAATGGTACCGTTAAAGATATTCTGGATATGGATATGGGGAATGGATATGCGCAATCAGATACGGAATTCAGATATACGGCAATATGTAATGGTGATTGTCTTAGCCATAGTGGTTATTTCATTACAGATTCTTACGGGAGGGATACTGCTCAAGCCCTTGAATATTTCCAATCTGATTTCTCAAAATGCTTATATATTAATACTGGCAATCGGTATGGTGTTATGTATTATTGCAGGCGGAAATATTGATTTATCTGTAGGTTCTATTGCTGGTTTTGTCGGAGCTGTTTCGGCAACATTGATTTTAAAAAGCCAGCTGCCGGTATTGCCGGCGATTGTGCTTTCTCTGGCCGTTGGTTTATGTATTGGGATGTGGCACGGCTTCTGGATTGCCTGGATAGGAGTTCCCTCCTTTATTGTAACTCTGGGCGGGATGTTGATGTTCCGGGGCTTTACTCTGGCAATCCTGAAAGGAAGCAGCCTGGCACCACTGCCGGGCAGTTACCAGTTTCTTGCTGCCGGCTTCCTTCCCGAAATTGGTAAAGTCCGGGGCCTGAACATCATGTCGATTCTCGTCGGGCTTCTGTTTTCCATATGGTACATCATCTCAGAGTGGTGCCGACGAAAACAGGCCCTCAGCTACGGTTTTACTGTACTGGCACCGCAACTTCTGCTGATAAAAATACTGGCGATACTGGCCACGGTAAATTATTTTACGATTCAACTCAGCCGGTATCGAGGCATTCCTGTGGTGCTCTTAATCATCGCTGTTCTGGTCATTATTTATACGTTTATTACGCAAAAGACGATTCCAGGAAGGCATATTTATGCGTATGGGGGCAACAAGCTGGCCGCAGAACTGTCCGGGGTCAACACCCGGCAAGTGATCTTCCTGGTATATGCCAATATGGGCTTGTTGGCTGCCTGGTCCGGAATTATATTTACCGGACGTTTGAACTCGGCGACACCGAAAACCGGGATGAATTTTGAGCTGGATGCCATTGCAGCCTGCTTCGTTGGTGGCGCTTCAATGTCTGGCGGTATCGGTACAGTGATCGGGGCGGTGGTCGGTGCTCTGTTGATGGGGGTTCTCAATAATGGCATGTCGATCCTGGGAGTGAGCATTGAATGGCAGCAGGCAATTAAAGGGTTTGTCCTGATTTGTGCAGTGGCCTTTGATGTGTACGCAAAATCAGGATCAAAGGCTTGAGGCCACTCAACACAAGTCCCTGCCAAAGTCCATTCCTCCTTCTGGCCCTGTTCAGCCAGCACAGCTGCCCTGATTTCCCGGTATGCTGCTGGTATGATGCAGCCATTGTCAGTGGATGGCCGGGGCCTTGATGGCAGGCGGCGGCATTGCAAATAAGCGGAGCCGGTTTTCCAGCCGAATAGACCACATCATTGCGCGTATTGCCGGCTCGCGCGCTGCTGGTTTTTCCATGCATTTATCCGTTTCCCGCCAGGCTCTTTAACTGTGCGGAGTTGTGGAAATTGCGGCGTATCAGGTTTGATTGTACTAGAACATTAATACAATGGCGCTGCTCTACCGCTTCGGCCATCTGGTCCAGCAGGTAACGGGCGGCCATCCGGCCAATCAGCTTGCCGGGCACGGTAAAACTGCTGAATCCCCCACCCAGCAGTTCGGCCAGTTGTGAATTATCAAAGCCGAGCAACTCGTAGTCACGGTGCAGCTCCCAGTGATACGAACGTGCCACCTCGATCACAATGGCTGCATCCTCATCGCTGGAACACAGCCAGGCCATTGGTTCCGGATGCATAGCCCGCTCCAGCTTCGCAAAAAACTCACTGCATCTTTTGCGGGTATCGCTGTGCTGGCCCTGGTCGACAAAGGCCAGCTCGGAGTAGCTTACCGCACCATAGCGCTCTGCCTGTTGCAGAACTTCTCTGGCCCCCTGCATGCGAACGGCCTTGGTTAAATAATTTTTCTGGTAAAATAAAATAAAGTCGCGAAAGCCGGCAGCCAGCATGACTTCAGAAGCCCTGCGGCCAGCCTGTAAATCGCAGCACAGGATGGAGCTGGCCTCAATCCCGGGTATCGTACTACAGACGAACACAACCGCAGTACCGCGCTGAATCAGTTGCATGTACAGGTCTTTGTTGGGCGCATGTACACCGTCGAGAATGGGCATGGCTACCAGCCCGGCGATGCCCTGGGCGGAGAGCTCCTGCAGGGCCTGACGTTCCTGCTGTACCTGATACTCACTCTGCTTGATAATGATATTGTACTGCTGGCTGTCAATGATGGAACTGAAACCGGAAATTACATCGGGGAAAATATAGTGACTGGGGAAAAAACAGAGCAGCCCCAGATCTTTTCTGAATGCCGCAGCAGGTCGGGCAGGTCCGGGCAATGCCGGGGCACGAACGGAGTAGCCCCGGTTTTTTTCGTACTGGAGCCAGCCGCTGTGGTGCAGCTGAGACAGGGCGTTGCGCACGGCACTGCGTGAGAGGTGAAACTTCTGGCACAGTGCCTTTTCTGTGGGCACTCGTTCCCCGCTGTCCAGCTGTCTGGATTGAATTTGTTCCTGTAGCCATTCCATGACAATATGGGCTCGTTTTTTGGGCATAAGGCCAATTATGTGAATAGACAGAAAATAATCAGTATTTCCAGAGAAAGTTCTGTTATTTTAGAGAATGGGGGGGCTGCTGCTGGCAGCTTCGGCCAGGAGCACCACGCAGCAGACGGTCTTTGTGTTGTACTTATTTTATCAGCAACATGAAGATATTTTTTGGATATATTCAGGCCGGGCAGAGTGATTTTCCAGGAACATCACCGGAAACAGCATGAATCTTTTCCGGACATATTAACATAATTATTTATATAGTAATTATTAATTTTAATACAATATGATGATGATCATCTTTTTTAATATGTGCTTGACCGATATCATAACTGGTGCTATAATCCATCCATTAAGATATACTGGTTACCATGAAGTACAATATTGACTGATTATCTGTTTTTCGGAGGTTGGTACCGGTCTCAACGGCTTTTATGAATCAATATAGAAAAATACCATCGGATGGAGGTCCGTGTGATGAATAAAATATCCTTACTGATGATTCTTTTCCTGCTGGTATTGCAGTCCTGTAAGGGCAGCGATAAGAAAAATATCCAGGATGCTGCAGTCAGCCTGACAGTCTGGCATTATTTTGCCGAGCAGGATGTGGATGTATTTAACGAGGGCATACAAAAATATGCCAGGCAGAAAGATATAGAAGTCACATCCACTTTTGTGGAGCGCAGAGATTTATTAAAACAATACACGATGGGTGCCCTTTCAGGACGGCTTCCAGATGTAGGTTTAGTTGACAACCCGGATCATGCATCTTTTGCTGTTATGGGCATTTTTCAGGATATCACGGATCTGGTAGAGGCTACCGGGGAGAAGGATTTCTTTTTTAAAGGCCCTTTATTGAGTGCGACCTATGAGGGGAAATTATATGGTCTGCCCCATAATTCTAACGCACTGGCCTTGTTTATCAATAATGCGATGTTCCGGGAAAAAAACCTTGAAGCTCCGACCACCTGGGATGAGTTGTTAGTCGTTTGTGAAAAACTGGCTGATAAAGAAAAGGGCGTTTACCCACTGGCTATGAGCGCTGTCAATACTGAGGAAGGAACATTCCAGTTTATGCCCTGGCTGCTTTCGGCTGGAGGAGGCATTGAGGATCTGGGGGGAGAGAATTCCATACGTGCTGTAAAATTCCTCAAAACACTGATAGATAAGGGATATATGTCTATCGATGTCATAAACTGGGGGCAGGGGAGTGCGAACACTCAATTTATGAATGGCCTGGCTGCAATGCAGGTCAATGGTCCCTGGAATATCCCGACCATTCAACAGGAGGCTCCTGACCTGGATTTCAGTGTAGTCCTGTTGCCCAAAGATCAGAAGTATGCTTCTGTCCTGGGCGGAGAAAATTTTGCTGTTCTAAGTGGTGCCCCCAGGGAAGAGGCTTTTGATTTATTATATTTCATTACATCAAAAGAAGTTGTGGCAGATTACGCGGCGAGAGCCGGCAAGTTTCCCTCGCGTTCTGATGCCCTGGAGCTTAAGACGATATGGACAGAAGATCCGCTTCTGAAAGTTTTTGGCGAAGAGCTCAAATTTGCCTTGCCCAGGGGGCCACATCCCCGGTGGCCTGAGATTTCCAGTATCATTATCGGGGCAGTGACCGAAGTTTTAACAGGTGTGAAAACGGCTGAAGAATCCATGCAGGAAGCAGCTGCAAAATATGATGAAATTATCCGTTAGTCAAGCAGGAATCCCGATAAGAACCAGACTCCCTGCCGGAGAAATAGAAGGAAATAAAGATGAAGAGAGGCTTCTTTATCAGGTATCGTGAAACATGGGCAGGGTATTTGTTTGTTGTACCGGCATCACTTTATATTCTGGGGTTAACAGCTTATCCCCTGGTTTATAATATCGGGATCAGTTTTTTTGATTTGAATGTAATGACATTCAAGAATAATAATATAATATTCCAGGGAATAAAAAATTATTCAGAATTATTCAGTGATGAGATATTTAAAAAATCTTTATACAATACATTTTTTTATACAATATGGTGTCTGGCATTCCAGTTTTCTATTGGATTTTTATTAGCCCTGTTCTTTAGTAAAAGATTTTTTCTATCATATATAATACGAGGACTTATTCTGATCAGTTTTATAATACCAATTTCAGTTACAGGTATATTATACAAAAATATGTTTGCGACAGAGACAGGGATTATAAATTATATACTGATAAATACAGGAATGATACATGATAATATTCCATGGCTGGTAAACAGCAACTATGCAGTCTGGTCATTGATTATCGCTAATATCTGGATAGGGATCCCGTTCAATATATTGTTATTGACATCCGGTCTTACAAGTATACCGAAAGAAATATATGAAAGTGCAAATATTGATGGTGCAGATATATTTCAGAAATTTTTCTTTATCACTGTTCCACTGATGAAATTTTCAATGATTTCTGTACTGACAATTGGTTTTATCTATACATTTAAGGTTTTTGACCTGGTATTCATAATGACAGCAGGAGGTCCTTCAAACTCTACCCATATGTTATCGACATATGCCTATAAATTGAGTTTTTCTGAGTATAATTTCTCTATGGGGGCAGCGACAGGTGTTGTTCTCTTTATCAGTCTGTTACTTACTGGACTTATCTATCTATTGATTATGCACTTTAACAGGGAATATTAGAATGGAAAATCTGCTGCCGGATATAAAAAAATATTTATATAATATAATAAATAATATAACTGGTATTATTATCGGAATAGTATTTCTGTTCCCGTTATACTGGCTGTTAATGTACTCTTTCAAGAGCAATAAAGAGATATTGATAGTATCATGGTTCCCGCTATACCCTACTTTACAGGCATGGATTGAACAGATTAATGATGCAGAGTTTCTGCGCAGTCTGAGCAATTCTTTTATCACAGCATTTACTTCAATGAGTATTTCATTCTGCTTTGGGCTTACTGCTGCCTATGGTATGGCGAGATTCCGGTTCCCGGGAAAAAAACATACTGACACTGGTGTTCCTGGTTACGTTAATGATGCCAGCACCACTGACATTGACACCATTGTATTTAATATTTGTTAATTTAGATCTGCTGGATACTTATATTGCTCCTCCTCTGGCTATAGCTACAGGTTCTATACCCTTTGTTGTGATTATACTAAGACCATATTTCATGTCATTGCCAGAAGAACTGGATGATGCGTCTCGAATTGATGGTTGTAATATTTTTCAGACTTTTCTTCTGATAATGTTCCCGCTGATAAGAGCCGGAGTAATTACAATTCTGGTAATGACTTTTCTTCATGGGTGGAATGATCTGATCTATTCCATGACATTTAATGTGAATGATTTTATGAGACCTCTGACAGCTAATATCAGCCGTTTTATGAATAAATATGGCATCCGGTGGAATTCAATTATGGCATATGGGATGATCCTGGTTCTGCCAGTTATTCTGGCATTTATCTTTTTGCAGAAATATATTGTAAGCGGACTCACGGAAGGTGCAGTCAAAGCTTGAGACAGGGGGAAAATCATGATCTATACGCAAGACCATAAATTATATTATCGGTTTGATGCTGAGACTATGGTAATTGAGGCATGGGGAACCGATTCGCTGCGTGTTCGCAGCTGGCTGGTGGCCCGGATGCCTCCTGATGACTGGGCCTTGACAGAGCCGGTCTGCAATTCCGATGCTGTGGTCGAATTACAGAAAAACGGGGAAGTGGTGGTGCAGGGGGTCATTCAGAACGGGAAAATATCTGCGCGCCTGGATATGAATGGCAAGCTGGTATTTGAGAATCAGGAAGGCAAAGTTCTGCTTGAAGAATATTATCGAAATCGGAAAGAATATAATTTTCTACCCGGGAAAGTTCCTTCCGGGTTTGCGTCTGCTCTGGAAATTGAAGCTCGGGAATTTATGCCTGTGGCCGGGGATAACTATATGTTGACCATGCGCTTTGAGGCGAATCCCACAGAAAAGATTTACGGTATGGGACAGTATCAGCAGCCATATCTCAACCTGAAAGGTTGTGAACTGGAATTAGCGCAGCGCAACAGTCAGGCCAGTGTGCCATTTGCGCTCTCCAGTCTGGGTTATGGTTTTCTCTGGAATAATCCGGCTGTCGGTCGGGTTTGTTTTGCCAGAAATCTCTCTGTCTGGACGGCTCAGGCAACTGACAAACTGGATTACTGGATTACTGCAGGTGAAAAACCGGCAGACATTCTGGCCAGTTATGCCAGAGTGACGGGGAACGGTTCCCATGATGCCGGATTGGGCGATGGGTTTCTGGCAGTGCAAGCTGCGCTACCAGACGCAGGAAGAACTGCTGGAGGTTGCGCGTGAATATAAGCGCCGCAATGTGCCTCTTTCGGTGATCGTGATAGATTTTTTCCATTGGACCTGTCAGGGAGAATGGAAATTTGATCCGGTGTACTGGCCCGATCCGCAAGCAATGGTTGATGAATTAAAGCAGATGGGTATAGAATTAATGATCTCTGTCTGGCCTTCTGTAGACCAGAGGAGTGAGAACTATGCGGAAATGGAAGAAAAAGGGTACCTGATTCGGACTGAAAGAGGGCATCGCATCTCTATGATGTTTTATGGTAACACCATTCATTACGATGCGACGAATCCCGAAGCACGAAAATATCTGTGGAACAGGATCAAAGAAAATTACTATGTGTATGGTATCCGGACATTCTGGCTGGATGAAGCGGAACCGGAGTATACATATTATCATTATGATCATTATCGCTATCATAAAGGTTCCAGTGCTGCGATCGGTAATATTTATCCGGCAATGTATGCCAGAACCTTTTATGAAGGTATGCTGGAGGAAGGCCAGAAAAATATTATTAACCTGCTGCGATGCGCCTGGGCCGGCAGTCAGAAATATGGTGCGCTGGTCTGGAGTGGTGATATTGATTCCAGTTTTCCCAGTCTGCGGAATCAGTTTGCGGCGGGGCTCAATATGGGACTGGCCGGGATACCGTGGTGGACTACGGATATTGGGGGGTTTCACGGCGGTGATGCCAGCGATCCGGAGTTCCGGGAATGTTTTATCCGCTGGTTTCAGTATGCAGCGTTTTGTCCCGTTATGCGTCTGCACGGGGACCGTGAGCCGCATGCCGAGCCATTAGATACCCGGCCGGGTGCCACAGGAGGAGGAGTCTGTAACTCAGGCGCAGAAAATGAAATCTGGAGTTATGGACAGGAAATTTATCAGATATGCAGAAAGTACATTCTGATTCGGGAGCGGCTCCAGCCGTATTTACAGCAGCTGATGCTCGCGGCACACCAGTGCGGGATGCCGGTGATACGACCGCTGTTCTTTGATTTTCCCCAGGACACTGCCTGCTGGGAAATTGAAGATCAGTACATGTTCGGGCCGGAAATACTGGTTGCCCCCATTTTATATTACAAAAGCAGATGCCGGAAGGTCTACCTGCCTTCTGGTTGTCAGTGGCGGAACCCCTGGAATAACAGGATGATGGAGGGTGGACAGACTGTAGAAGCAGAGGCACCAGTAGCACAGATTCCTTTGTTTATTCGTGGAGATTCCAGAGTGGCGATTCTTTAGAATGACAGAAAAATAACCGCGCGGCGGCCTGCTGCCGGAGGAGCTGTTCCGGGGCAGCGCCGGGAACAGCTCCATATCAGGTATCTGCGCGGCATTCTGTTACTTTTCAGGTAATGAATCTCCCGGAAATGGTTTTTCATAATAAGAACAATTTTTTTCTTAAAAATACTTGATCAAAGATGTGATTCAGTTTAGAATTTTCGTATGAGCAAGTCAGGGGATGGGCCGGTGAATCATACCCGGGAAATTAAATGGTACAAAATTCCGGTAGATAAAGAACAATTGCAGATTCTGGTTCAGCGAAGTGACCGTAAAGGTTTTCTGCAGGCTGCCAGTTTCCTGCTGATATTTATCATCCTGGGAGGAACCTCGTATCTGTTGTTCCTGAATCAGTTATGGCTGCTGTTTGGCCTGTGTTTTTTTCTGCATGGCACCTTTTCAAATTTTATGGGAATGGAGGCAGCCGTACACGAACTGAGCCATGGAACAGCTTTCAAAAGCAGGAAACTCAATGAATTCTTTTATAAAATATTCTGCTTTATTTCCTGGAATAACTGGGTGCATTTCCGTTACAGTCACCGTAAACATCACCATTTTACCACCAGCAGGGGGAAGGATTACGAGGTGGTTCTGGAGCCGATGAAATTGAATCTGCTGGTGCTGATTGCAATATTTACGATAGATATTTATAAGATGATTGCGCGGATACGGCCATGTCTCTATCATTTTTTTGGATCGACAAAAACAGATTTTTTCTCCTGGAATGAACTGTTTGCAAAGGATGATCCGAATCGTCGTCAGATGATCCGCTGGGCCCGTTTTCTGGTTACAGGGCAGTGCGTTCTGATTGCTTTGTTTATCTATCTGGAGCAGTATATTCTGATTGCGGTTGTCAATTTCCCTACCTTTTTTGCCTCATGGCTGGCAGCAGGCTGTGGCAGATTGCAGCATGCGGGGCTGCCATCCGATCAGGATGACTGGCGTAAAAACTGTTATACATTCTATGCCAGCCCGCTGCTCAGGTACCTTTACTGGTCGATGAATTACCATATTGAACATCACAGCTATGCCGCAGTGCCATTTTATAACCTGGCAGAATTACATGAATTAATGCGGTATCAGGAAGCCAGGCCACTCAGTGGTTACCTGGCAGGGATTCTCCACTTATTGCGGGTAGCTGTCCGGCAAATGAAAGATCCGCATTATTGCTATGAGCAGCAGTTGCCTGCAGAATAGGCGGTAATGATCTTTAACTGTTATTATATTGTATGGAATTCTGAGACTATGAAACTGAATAGAAACTATACAAAAATAAATTTCAGATTTCAGGAATTTGGAGTCTGTTTTTCTCTTCTTGTAATAGTGTCTTTTATGTCATTTGCCAGTCCATATTTCCTGACTGGTACCAATATCTTTAACATACTGAAAAACATGGGAAGCATAGGCCTGCTGAGTCTGGCCATGACTCTGATTATCGTAATGGGGGGGATCGACCTGTCTGCAGGCTCCATAATGGCTGCGTCGGCGATGTTTACGGCGCGGCTGCTGTATATGGGCAGCGGCACCTTCCTCGCGATTCTGGGAGGTCTGTTGACGGGGCTGCTGCTCGGGGGCATAAACGGTGTGATTATTACCAGACTCAGAATTGCACCGTTTATTGTAACACTGGGCATGATGCAGATTGCCCGGGGCCTGACGATTCTCATGGCAACTGGCGTAGTTGGCAGTGTTGCCGCCAATATCACCGTCAAAGACCCCTTTATTTTATACATGGGCAGCAGCTACTGGGGGCCGGTTCCGGTCAGTGTGGTCATTCTGCTGGTGATGGTACTCTGTTTTATGTATATCACCAGACATACATTGCTCGGACGCAATATTTATGCGATTGGCAGTAACGAAACCGCAGCCCGTCTGGTAGGTATTCAGACCGACAGGATCAAAATTACCATTTATACAATTATGGGAGGAGTCTCTTTTTTTGCCGGACTGCTCTCCTCAGGACTGCTCTCCTCGGCCACTACGAATTCCGGGCAGGGGATTGAACTGGATGTAGTTGCAGCCGTAGTGATTGGTGGCGGCAGTCTGAGCGGTGGGCGAGGGACTGTCCCTGGTGCGGTGATAGGCGCAATGATTATTGCAATTGTCCGCAATGCTTTTGTACTGTTGCATTTTCCACCCTTCAGCCAGACAATTACAATAGGAATCATTATTATTCTGGCTGTAATTATTGACACTTTGCGACATAAATAATTTATCAATCATTTTCCGGGGGGAGCTCGTTATGAAAAATAGAATATTGTTCACGCTGTGTACATTGTTTATTCTGTTTGCAGCATGTACAAAAAAAGATGGAGGAGGTGCTGCTGCAGAGTCAGAAAAAATTGAACTGCCTCCCGGCCCGTCTTTTTCTTCCAGAACAGAGCCTGTTGATTCAGGCACAGTAAAGCCGCTGCAAAAGTCCGAACGCCAAATCCGCATTGCCGTGATCGGCCTGGAAAACAACCCGTTCTGGAACTACGTCAAAGATGGGACCCTCGCCGCCGCCAGGGAATTGAAGCCCTTCAATGGTCAGGTGGACTGGATTATCCCACCCGGGCAGAATCATACTTCCGAAGTATTTGGCAGCAGTATTGATGCGGCGATCGTGCAGAAGTACGATGCGGTTGCCACACTGGCAGGCGATTCGGGGATTATTCCTTACATTAACCGGGCGGTCGAATCTGGAATTCCTGTGGCAACGTTTAACGTTGAGACAAAGGAACCGTCCCGCCGTTTATTTTTTGTCGGAGCTGATTTGTACAGCCAGGGACAGAGTGCAGGCAAAGCGTTTGCTGCGTTCTGGCAGGGAAAGGGGATCCCGGATCCGAAAGTGGCAGTTCTTACCGGATTTTTCTCGGTAGAAGGTCTGGAGCAGCGAAGGAAGGGCTTTCTGGATTATCTGCAACAGGCAATGCCGGAAGCCGAAGTGGTCGGCCAGGTGGAGACCAGAGACAGTGATGAAATCGGCTACCAGCAGACCGTGGATTTTTTTACGGCAAATCCGGAGTTGAATGCCATCTACAGTGCTGCGGGCGGAACTGTAGGAGCCTCGCGGGCGATTGAAGAAAAGGGCCTCCAGGGGCAGGTCTTTGTGTTTGCATACGACTACTACCCCGAAGTAATTGAGTACATCAGGAAAGGGATTATTGCCGGAACTATCGGTCAGCAACCGTTTGCCCAGGGCCATGATCCGGCCGTTCGCCTGTTTAACTATATCGTGGCACAGGAAGTTCCCCCTGCCGGGGTACTGAATACGAAGTCCGATTTTCTGACAGCTGAAAATATTGATTCCGTGATTGGAAAAAAGAACTTTTAGCGTATGCCTGTTCTGGTGCAGGCTCTGGCTTTGTGGTTTGTCTGTCGAAAAGCCTGCACCATGAGCAGCCATGCAGTTGTTGTTCCTGTGTTTTTCCGGTTTGTACACCGAGGATTTCTGTTGTGAGACTCATCCCGATCAACCATACCAGATATGCACTTTTTGTCAGCGGTATACAAAAAGAGTTTGGTCCCACAAAGGCCTTGCAGAATGCAGTATTCCATCTGAAATCTGGTGAAATACATGCGTTAATGGGTGAAAATGGTGCCGGTAAATCCACGCTGATCAAAATATTATCCGGTTATTACGCTCCGGATGCCGGTGATATTTATTATAAAGGAAAAATCCACAGTTTTCGTTCTCCCTCGGATGCTCTCCATCAGGGTATATGTGTGGTGCATCAGGAGTTATCGCTGTTTGATGAGCTCTCGATTATCGACAATCTGTTTCCAGGCCGGATCATGCGGGCCGGACCTGGCCTGAACTGGAAGCTGGCACGCAGGAAGGCAGTGGAAGCAATGGAAATTGTTGCCCTGCGCAATATCGACCCGGATACACCGCTGAAGTTTCTGAGTATTGCCAGGAAGCAATTGATTGAGATCGCCAGGGCGGTTTACCAGGATGCGGATATCCTGATTCTGGATGAACCGACTTCCTCACTGGATACAGGGGATGTGCAGAACCTGTTTCAAATTCTGAATGTATTAAAAAAGCAGGGTAAGGCCATCCTGTTTGTTTCTCACAAAATGGATGAAGTACTCAGGCTCTGCGATCGCATTACGATTTTCAAAGATGGTAGTTACAGCGGGACGATTCTGAACCGGGATTACCAGGACAAGCAGAATATCCGCGATGAAATCATCCGTCTGATGGTCGGCAGGGAGCTGAAGCAACAGTACCGGAAGCACGGGGATACCCACGTGGATACCATGGGGGCTGCGGGAGGCCCGGAGGGGGCCGTGCTGGAGGTAAAAGGGCTGGAATCAAAGCATTTTCACGATATCAGTTTCTCCCTCCACAGCGGAGAAATACTGGGTCTGGCAGGCCTGGTAGGTTCCGGTCGCTCTGCGCTCTGCCGTGCGATTTTTGGCGTGACAGGCTATACAGCAGGTCAGGTGGTATATAACGGCAAAGTGTTGCCACCAGATTCCATTCCAGACTCTCTTCAGGCAGGGATGGCAATGGTGCCTGAAGATCGGCGCAGGATGTCTCTGTTCAGAGGCTTATCCATTGCCTGCAACATGAATATCTTTCTTTACAGATCTTTCATAAAAAAAGGTTTTTTTCGCTCCAGTATGGCATATAAATCTATTGAAAAAAATAAAATGAAATTCCGCATTAAAATGGGTGCCCCTCAGAATCCAATTGACAGCCTGAGTGGAGGGAACCAGCAGAAATGTATTCTGGCCCGTTGGTTATCGTATCAGCCGGATTGCATTATTTTTGATGAACCGACCCATGGTGTTGACATTGGCGCGAAAGTAGAGATTTACGAACTGCTGGATGCTCTGGCACTGGAAGGAAAGGCCATTCTGTTGATTTCGTCTGAACTGCCGGAAGTGCTGGCGCTCTGCGACCGGGTAGCGGTGATGAAAGAAGGCCGGATCACCAGAATCCTGGGGGCGCGGCGAAATATCGGAAGAGAACCTGTTACAATCTGCGATTTAGACCTGTACAGGACGCGGTTAAAAGCAGGACGCGGTTACAGCCCCGGCTGTGTTTCCAGACCATACCCAGGGCCCGAAAAACAGCTGGAGTATTCTTCCAGGGACCGGTACTTTGCAGAATCTGCCCTGCTCAGGCTCTCCCATCCTCTTCGATTCCGGCATCCCCGGCCGTGGCATCCAGGCAGCGCAGAGCCTGCTGCATCCATGCTGGCGGTATGGACTTGCAAGCGGAGTTCATTTCCATTTTAATCAGTGCCAGCCGGCCCTGTTTCACTTGAAAAGCCCGAAGATACGGGGCGGAGCGGTTCTCACGCATACTGCCTGTGCCACTCAGAGGCTGCCTGGTATGGAAGCGTTTGCGGAACGGGCTGCCCTGGGATTCGCATGCTTCAGTTTGTACAGGCTTATCAGGAGTGCGCATGAGCGGGAAGCCCATTGACTGCATCAGCATCCTCGCCGGTGGAGGGGGAACCCGCCTGTGGCCGGCCTCAACGGAGCAGCGCCCGAAACAGTTTATGAGGATCGCTTCGGAAAAAGCCTGCTGTTGCAGACACTGGAGCGCTCCTGGGCACTGGAACCCCGTGTGGGTGTGTTTGTCATCTGCAATCAGCAGAGCAGGAATGGCATTCTCCGGGAACTGGAGCTGCTGCCGTCCGAACAGGCCAGCCGGACCTGTGTGCTGCTGGAGCCATGCATGCGCAATACCGCAGCCGCCCTGTTCTATGCCAATCAGCTGCTGGAACAGCTGGCCGGCCCGCAGGCACTGAATCTGGTCCAGACCTCCGATCACCTGATTGGCCCTCCGGCTGCCTTTGCCCGGGCAATTCAGCAGGCGGCAGAACTGGCCCGGCAGCAGCGCATTGTGGTGTTTGGCTTGAAGCCAGACTATCCGGCCACCGGCTACGGCTATATTGAGCAGGGCCGTACTCTGGAGAATTCATCGGGTAAAGCCCATCAGGTGCTGCGCTTTACCGAAAAGCCGGATGAAGCAACGGCCCGGCAATTTCTGGCGCAGGGGCGCTTTTACTGGAATTCGGGGATGTTCTGTTACCCGGTGGGACTGTTTCGCGAAGAATTAAGCCGCCACAGCCCTGCCCTGGTGCAGGCGCTGCTCCCCGTCAGCGGTTCGCTGAGCAGGCAGCTGGAGCGATGTAGCGCCACTGTGCTGCTGAGTCCGGATGCAGCGTTTACCACAGCTTTCAGCAGTTGTGAGAATATTTCGATTGATTACGCATTAATGGAAAAAACCGATAAACTGGTATTGCTGTGTGCCGATTTTGCCTGGAATGATATAGGCTCCTGGGACGTACTGGCTGAACTGGAACCATCCCTTGCTCCGGCCACTTCCCGGGAGGCTGCCCTGAGCGCACCGCTGGTGGAAGTTGGCCATTGCAGGGGAAACTTTGTGCGCAGCAGCCTGCCGGTGGCACTGTGCAATGTCAGTGATTTAATTGTAGTAGAAGAAAATGGCGTGCTGCTGATCTGTCGCAAAGGCTCTGCCGAACTGGTCAAAGAAGCCCGTACCCGGATGCTCGAGCAGCTCCCGAAACAGATGTAAGAATCAACACAGTACAATCAGAGAGGATTCACGAAAGATGCTGTTCGCCATGCTGGCGGAATAAAGGCGCATAAAAATCCTGCTCCGGCTCCATAAAGAGCCTGGGAAATCCGGTGGCCTCCTGTTGTTCTGTGATAAAGCGCTCCAGGCCCCGCAGCACGACCACTGGAGTCTGTTCTGCGCCTTCGCCCATGTGGAGCCCGGCAAAGCCGGCAATCCGGTCGACAATATTTGTTTCGCTCAATTTCAGCTCACGGCCAAATAAATCCACCTCACCCTGATAACTGTGCAGTAACTGGACTCCGGCTGCCGCGATACTCAGGCTGATGCAACCCCTGCGCATCGGCAACACGGTGCTGTCCAGAATAAGCAGGCCCAGCGAATCAACTCCATAGCGTTGCGCAATGCGTTTGCGCAGTTCCCCGGCAATATGCTGCGGTGTTTCCGGCCACAGAATCTGCCAGCCATCACCATTACTTTCGTCAATACCAGCAAACGGTACCGGCGTACCATCCTTGATGGTAAACGGAAAATCAATGTTCAGCTGCGCTGCGCCTGGCTCCGGGTCAGGTGCAAGAGAGCTGGCAATGTAATAATCGGCTTCCTGTTGCATCAGTTTCCGCCGTTCCGCCGGGTCATGGATTTTGCGGCAGCGTCCCTGATGAATGGCCACGACTTTCGCGGAAATACATAGCAGATCGTGATTCTGCAAAGTGAAAGTCTCTTTCAGAGAGTCCAGCGCGGCAAATAAGGCCTGGAATAAATCGTCCTGAGGTGGCTGAAGCCGTTTCAGCCGGAGAGGATAAACGGAGTAATGGCTGCAATAGAACATGGTTCCCCTGCCAGTCTGTCGGTACTTCCCAAAAGACAGGCGGTATGATAGTATGGACTGCACCCGGCAATACTTCGGGCACCTGGCCAGTATCTCCAAGTATTCCAGTTATACCGGAAAAATACCATATGCAGAACCCCAATGCCGCAGCTGCAATGCAAGTTCCATTGCAGAGTATCTTTTATCTGCTGGATAGTTTGCGGTTGCCGAGGCTTCCCATAAAGTTTTGTCCCTTGAGTCTGCTTCTCTTGACTTTTTTCGGGATTTATACTATACTCCCTTATCCCTTATCCCTTATCCCTTATCCCTTATCCCTTATCCCTTATCCCTTATCCCTTATCCCTTATCCCTTATCCCTTATCCCTTATCCCTTATCCCTTATCCCTTATCCCTTATCCCTTATCCCTTATCCCTTATCCCTTATCCCTTATCCCTTATCCCTTATCCCTTATCCCTTATCCCGAAAGCCGTTGTTGCGCGTTTCTGAAAAAATTTTCCGGGTATTCCACAACAGTTTTCACTGCAATTCTGAGCAGAGATTTTCCGCTTTTTTCTTCTTCTCCGTCGCAGTCTGTCAGTCGATAATGACCAGCTGGCTCATACGCATTGGCCCTTCGTGTTTACTCCTCAATTATGGCAGATGCAGAGGGAATCGCAGCCGGGACAGAATTCCCGTCTGGTGTTTCCCATACCTGTTATCGGGCCTGTTATCGGGATTTCAGAAAACAGATCGAAAATGGATAGATGAAAATTCTGAGCATTTGCTTGTATGCAGAAGGAACATGGAAGATTCTATATTGACAATTTCTGTATTGTTGCTGGTAGTCCGACCAGCCCCCAGCCCCTCCTGGTTGCTCCTTTCTGGTTCTCCCAGCTCCTGATTCTAATGGGAAATTGGCTGTCCGGGTTAGCGCCGTTTTATTAAAAATTCATTTTCAGATGCAGGTTATTTATGAAAAAACACTTCTTTCAGATACGTTATGGAGCAGTTATACTAGGATGATAATATAAAAAAATGTCGTGATTTACGCTGGATATCAGCAAAAAATATTCATGGATATTTTTTGTGGTACTTTAGTATATAGTCAATACAGTGGAATTTTTACATATAGTGATATGAGAATATTCAATCATTATCGATAAATTCTTTCATGAAAAAATTATTTTGTTATTCGATATTGAGTTGTTGAATCTATAGCTGGTGTAATTAACTGTTTTTATGATAGCAGTGGTTTTTGAAATTTTTTAGAAAAATCATCCAAAATACTACCATAAAAACTGAAAATTGTGCATGCTGTATAAAACTTGAAGTTCCGGGAGCCGGCTCTCTATTGACGTGTATATTACGTCTTTACAGAGCCGTGAGCTCCTGTTGGGGCTGGTATGCCTGGGGGGGCATAGTGTATTGCTGCTGGAGGAGCTATGTCTGAAGAGTCAGGCAGAACAGGTAAGATTTATTGTGCAAACTGTATCCACTGCAAACTGGTAAAAGCCTACACCGACGATGGCGCAGTGGTACAGAAGGTCCGTTGTGCTGCGGGCCACTGGAAAAAAAGAATGGGGGGGGAGAAGCAGTATCAGTATGCAACCGTTGCCCGCCGTACTGAGGACTCCTGTCCTGATTACGATGAGATGGGGGATTCAAGAACATTTATGAGGGAACTGAAGCGTAGCCTGCCTCCCAGAAATCCCAAAGCAGATGATGTGTATTCGGATTAGAGCCGGCTTCCGTCCAGGGTGAGCTGCGGCTTCATGGACGGATGCCGGAGTGTCTCCCCCCGGGAGTGAGCTGTCATTCCTGTGAAGATGAGAGCATGATATACACAGAACGTGGAAACGGGAATACAGAAATCCAGAATGCGGAAATCAAGGGGATAAAGGGGGAAACGGGTCTTTTCCGGTGCATACTGTTCTGCGCTGCTCCCGCTGCCCCGCCGCTGCTCCATTTTATGCGCGCAAGCCTTGTGGACCCTGCCTGGCCCGGATCGGCATCAGCGCAGCTCAGAACCTTTCTGGCAGTGAATGCAAAAAGGCGCGTAAGGGATTGCTCTTAAGCGTTCCTCATCAATTTTTTTGCTGCACTTCGCACATAAACCAAAACGCCCATTATTAATACGGCCAATTGCGGCCTCCACTTTCTTTAAACGATTCACATCCTGAGTGCCAATGGTTTCCAGCAGACGGATATCCACATCGTTAGCGGCCAGATCGACACTGTCTTTTACAGCATCATTGCTGGTTGCAGCCATAAAGTCAGCACTTTCAGCCAGAATATTTTCCAGTATCTGGCTGCGCATATCCATTAACTGCTGATACATTTTCTGGCGAAACTGTTCTTCCATTTCAGCTCCTTAGCGGGAGGGGATAAACTGGTGAAAATTAGTGATTATGCTCTGTTTTGTCAAGCAAACCGGTTCGGCAGACCGGGTCCGGAAACTGGAGAACGGTTTGATGATAAAAAAATTATACAGCCTGTAACATTGTATAGTAAAATGAATAATGGTTTTTATTATGGTTTTTATCTGCCGTGTTTCACCGACAGTTCACCACAGTGGAATTTTCGTTTCATGATAGCATATCCTGGAGTAGCGTACTGGCTCCCAGACGGAAACTCCGGGGTTGCACAAAGTCCGGCCCCAGAATGCTTTCGGCCAGTGCAATGTAGGTCCGTGCCTCGGACTGCTTGCGGATACCACCGGAAGCCTTGAAGCCGCACGGTTTACCACTGTCTTTAATACAGTGCAGCATCAGCCCGGCGGCTTCGGGAGTCGCACCGGGACTCGTCTTACCGGTAGAGGTTTTCAGGAAGTCTGCCCCGGCGGCCAGGCCAATTTCGCAAGTACGCTGGATCTCATCCGGGCTCAGCTGTCCGCTCTCAATAATCAGTTTCAGAACTTTACCGTGGCTTTCATTGCGGCAGGCGCGGACAAAGTCCAGCTTCTGTTCGTAGTCAAAGTAGATACTGTGCCGGGAATGGGGGATGACCAGGTCGATCTCATCAGCACCCTGTTGCAGTGCGTAGTGGATTTCGGCGATCACCTCATCCAGGGGCAGCGCGCCGCCGGGAAAGTTCACTACAGTAGCCACCGGCAGTACCGGCTGCCGGGCATGCACAAAGGCATCCTTGACCAGGGCGATATAGCGGGGATAGACGCAGACAGCCGCTACGGTTCCCAGCGGACTGTGAGCCTCTGCGGCCAGTTTGCGTATCCGGGCATCACTCTCTGTCCCGCTCAGGCTGGTATAGTCGATCAGTCGGACAATTTTCTGCTGTTCGTTCATATGCTCTCCCAGGATTCTTATTATGCTGTATCCAGGCAGAACAGGGAAGTTCCCGGAGCTGGACGCGAGCCGGCCTGTGGGGGTGAAAAAGCCGGGATTCCCGGAATGGAGCTTCCCGGCCGTCGCTGCTTTCAGGAGCTGCTGTGCGTACTCAGATACCCGAAAATCTCCCGTTCCAGCACCGCATCGTGTTCCATGCCGCGCACATTGAACTGGACTACCGGGCGACAGGGCCGGTTGGAGAGTACGATAATAGAATCAGCCAGCAGAATGGCTTCGCGGATATCGTGGGTAATCAGCAGGATGCTGCGGGGTTGCTGCTGGCTCAGTTCGAGAAACCAGTACTGTAAAGATTGTTTGGTCAGGGCATCCAGGGCCCCGAAGGGTTCATCCAGCAGCAGCAGCTCGCTTTTCAGCGTGTAGGTGCGCAGCAGGTTGGCGCGCTGGCGCAT